TCAGTTCACCTCTCCCCTCCCTCAGTTCACCTCACTCACCTCTCACTCCCTGATTCACCTCACTCCCCTCCCCTCCCTCAGTTCACCTCACTCACCTCTCCCTCCTCAGTTCCTCCTCACCTCTCCCTCCCTCAGTTCACCTCCTCCCTCTCCACTTCCCCTCAATTCTCACTCCCTCTCACTCCCTCAGTTCACCTCCTCATCCCCTCACTCCCTCAGTTCACCTCCCTCCTCTCACTCCCCAGTTCACCTCCCTCCCATCTCCTCCCTCAATTCACCTCACTCACCCCTCCACTCTCTCAGTTCACCTCCTCACCTCTCACTCCCCTCAGTTCACCTCACTCACCTCCTCACTCCCTCAGTTCACCTCCTCTCTCACTCCCTCAGTTCACCTCACTCACCTCTCACTCCACATGCCGGGCGAGACAGTGAGGCTCTCTAGCCACTGTTGCTGTCATTCACTGCTGTACATTTCTATCTGTCAGTGATTTGAACTCCACAGCCACAACCTGCCTTGGTTGGTGGTGAGAGGGGTGAGGGGGGTGGTGTGGAGGAGTGGGGAGTGGTGTAGAGGAGTGGTATTGGTGTGGGGTGAGTGAGTGAGAGGTAGTAGTGTAGGTGTGTGAGTGGGGGAATGGTTATAGTGTGAAGCCAGAACATTATGAACGGGCTTTGGAGGTTTTTGGCGGAAGTGAGGTCAAAATAACTAGAGACGGCCAAAGACATCTAGGCGTGTGGTGGCACTACAGACTTCAAGACCAGTACGTAGCAGGAAAGGTGAATAGAGTGGGTTACAAGAAATCCACTCTCTCTGAGATTGCTAACACAAACCACATGCGGCCTTTGCAGCATTCACCACAGGTCAAGCATCGCTGGAACTACCTGATGCGTACCATCCCTGAGATCGGACCCATCCTCCACCCTCTGGAAGAAGCTATCAGTGTCAAGTTCGTTTCCCAAACTGAGTAGAAACACCTGACTCCAACCCCAGCAGAAGAACACTTCTTGCACTTCCACCAAGACTGGGAGGATGGGACTAACTAATCCAAGGAGTTGCTGACACTGAACATCAAAATTCACTTAATCACGGCAGCCCTCACTGACCACTAGCAGCCCAGAATGCAACAGAAGTGGACACCAGCAAGTAAATAAGATCCGTAGGTCCATTACAACAGATCGGCAGCACTGAAAATGACATGTTGCAGCAACTATTGCTGCTGGCTCCGAAGAATTTGACAAAAAAGTAGCTATAGCGCGGGTGGGCGCCTCGAACTGGTTAACTACGTTACCGATAAGGGCAAATGGTTTCATGTAACAAACAAAAATTTACAGATGCCATTGCTCTTAGGTACGGTTGGCCAGTAGATGGTTTGCCCCTCCCAATGCGTGTGTGGCTCTTCTATGACGGCGGTCACGCCATGGTCTGCAAGTGGGGCTTCATATGCATGAGGCATGACAGGTAGGGATCTCACAGCAAATATGTTGAAGAAATCTGCCGGGACGTCATGGTAGAACCGACCCTCCTTCCACTGGATGGTGAGATCTTCCAACACAGGACTTCAAACACATCTAACAAGCCCGTGTGGACGTCAGTGCTCGAGATTCTGGACGCGGGGACAGCAAGCTTTCTTCGACATCAGGATTTTGATCCCATGGCCACTTGTCACCGTAACCTAGCTCTCGATGCTGCACATAGGAGGGAACAAAACGACAAGAGAAGGGCATATGGGGAGAGAATTCAAAACGTTGATCAAGGCAGCTTCACTCCTCTAGTGTTCACAACCTCTGGTGGATGGGCCCAAGTGCAAGATGTTTCTACGCCAGACTCACGGAGTTGATCTCCGAACAAGCAGCAGCAGGTTATGTTACAGCCTGGATGAGATGTCGACTGTCCTTCTCTCCTTCGGTCGCTTTGCTTTGCCTCAGGGGAACGAGAGCTTCTGCCCCTACTCCGACAACTGCTGCAGATATTGACTATGAGGCTACAGTCACTGAATGCCGCATAGATCTGCGCTCAACTAATTTAACACAGATGGGATAGCTTCTTATGTATTAGGATATTTAATATTAAGGTAAATAAATGGTGGCGAAGGTGTGGCTATTGGGGGCTGGAGGCCACGTTAAAAAAAAAAAAGTAGTAGTAGTAGGTAGTAGCGGTAGTAGCGGCAGTAGTAGAGAGATCAAGTACCTCCTAGCCCACACTGCCATACTGTCAACAGGAGTTACTGTCACTACACCACATCACTACAGTAGACTCACTCACAGCCTGCCGTCATACCATACAAACAACAACACTAATTAAACCTGTTAAAAAAAATTGGGACACATTCAACGCTGGAATCTGAACAGCTTGTAGACCACACAGCTTATAATGTAGCTTTACTTTCTAATATAATCAAGTCTATTTCAACCATACACACTGATCCATACACACTGATCCATACACACTGATCCCTCACACTGGTCCATACAGACTGGTCCATACACACTTGATCCGCCACAGACTGGTCCCTCACACTGATCCATACAGACTGGTCCATACACACTGGTCCATACACACTGATCCATACACACTGGTCCATACAGACTGGTCCATACACTGATCCATACAGACTGGTCCATACACTGATCCATACAACTGGTCCACACACTGGTCCATACACACTGATCCATACACTGGTCCATACACAGACTGGTCCATACACTGATCCATACACACTGGTCCCACGACTGGTCCATACACACTGATCCATACAGACTGGTCCCCACACACTGATCCACAGAACTGGTCCCTCACACTGGTCCATACACACACTGGTCCATACACACTGATCCATACACACTGGTCCATACACACTGATCCATACAGACTGGTCCCGCCACTGGTCCAACACACTGGTCCATACACACTGATCCATACCACTGGTCCATACACACTGGTCCCACACACACTGGTCCCACACACTGGTCCATACACACTGATCCACACAGACTGGTCCATACACACTGATCATACAGACTGGTCCATACACTGGTCCATACACTGGTCCATACACACTGATCCACCACACTGGTCCCGCCGACTGGTCCACACACACTGATCCATACAGACTGGTCCATACACACTGGTCCATACATCCACTGGTCCATACACACTGATCCATACACACTGGTCCACACAGACTGGTCCATACAGACTGATCCATACACACTGATCCATCAGACTGGTCCATACACACTGATCCATACACACTGGTCCATACAGACTGGTCCCGCCGACTGGTCCATACACACTGATCATACACACCACAGTCCATACACACTGGTCCATACACACTGGTCCATACTGATCCCGCCACACTGGTCCATACAGACTGTCCCTTACACTGGTCACTACGACTGGTCCATACACACTGGTCCATACACACTGGTCCATACACACTGATCATACAGACTGGTCCATACAGACTGGTCCATACACACTGGTCCACACACACTGTCCATACACACTGATCCATACACACTGGTCCATACACACTGGTCCATACACACTGATCCATACACACTGGTCCATACACACTGGTCCATACACACTGGTCCATACACACTGGTCCATACACACTGGTCCATACAGACTGGTCCATACACACTGGTCCATACACACTGATCCCATACACACTGGTCCATACACACTGTCCATACACACTGATCCATACACACTGGTCCATACACACTGATCCATACAGACTGGTCCATACACACTGGTCCACCCTCACATTCCTCCCGTCACTGGTCCACCCTCACATTCCTCCCGTCACTGGTCCACCTCACACTGGTCCACCCTCACATTCCTCCTGTCACTGGTCCACCCCACACTGGTCCACCTCACACTCTCCTGTCACTGGTCCACCCCTGACACTGGTCCACCATTCTGTCACTGGTCCACCCTCACATTCCTCCCGTGACTGGTCCTCCCGTCACTGGGGTAGAGCAGCTGGACCACTTATCATACCTGGATCTTTGTGGTGACGTCACGTGATTAAGACGTCTCCAGGTGTGTTTGAGACCAGGTAGCGTTTCTTAAGACGCCCCCTCCCCCACCCCTGTCACCCTCAAAACACTCTCCCCCACCCCGCCCGCCCCCACCATCTCCACCTCACATCCCTTCTTCCTTACACCCCATCTGCCCCTCACTCCACCCTCCCTTTCTTCACCACCCTCACACCATCGCCTCCCTTCCTCACCACCCCACACCATCCCTCCCTCCCTCACCACCCTCATACCACCCCCTCCCTTCCCTCACCACCTCACACCATCCCCTCCTTCCCTCACCCCTCACACCATCCCCTTCCTCACCACCCTCACACCATCCCCCTCCCCTTCCCCACCACCCTCACACCATCCCCCTCCTTCCTTCACCACCCCTCACACCATCCCTCCTTCCCTCACCACCCCACACCATCCCCCTTCCCACCACCCTCACACCATCCCTCCCTTCCTTCACCACCCTCACACCATCCCCCCCCTCCCTTCCCTCACCACCCTCACACCATCCCCCCCTTCCCACCACCCTCACACCATCCCTCCCTTCCCTCACCACCCTCACACCATCCCCCCCTTCCCCTCACCACACCCTCACACCATCCCCCTCCCTTCCCTCACCACCCCACACCATCCCCCCTTCCCTCACCACCCTCACACCATCCTCCCTCACCACCCTCACACCATCCCCCCCTTCCCTCACCACCCTGCACCATCCCCCCTTCCCTCACCACACCCCACACCATCCCCCTCCCTTCCCCTCACCACCCTCACACCATCCCTCCCCTCCTCACCTTCTTCCAGCCCATTACACCCCCCCATACGTGCCAAGTAAGAACATGACACTGGCCGCCAAACAAACATTTAGTTCTCCAGGTAAACTTACACTGTACACACCAGCCCTTCAATATAAATGTTTCTCTATACAAATTATATAAATCCTGTCTGCCCGACACCAGTCACCGCCACTCATCACCAGGTCACGTCACCGCCACTCAGTCACCAGCTCACCGCCACTCAGTCACCAGGTCACTAGTCACCGCCACTGTCACCAGGTCACTAGTCACCGCCACCAGTCACCAGCCCCGCCACCAGTCACCAGGCCACCAGCCCGCCCACCAGTCCCGCCACCAGCCCAGCCACCAGTCACCAGGTCACCACCGCCACCAGCCACCAGGTCACCACCGTCACCAGCTCCACCGCCACCAGCCCACCAGTCACCAGTCACCGCCACTCAGTCACCAGGCCTCAGCCTCCACCGCCACCAGTCACCAGGTCACCAGTCACCGCCACCAGCCACCAGGTCACCAGTCACCGCCACCAGCTCACGGCTCACCAGTCACCGTCACTAGTCACCGCCACCAGTCACCACAGGTCACCAGTCACCGCCACCAGTCACCAGGTCACTAGTCACGTCACTAGTCACCGCCACCAGTCACCAGGTCACCAGTCACCGCCACTAGTCACCAGGTCACTAGTCACGCCACTAGTCACCAGGCACTAGTCACGCCACTCACGCCACGCCACCGCCACCAGCACCACACCAGCTCCACTAGTCACCGCCACCAGTCACCGCCACCAGTCACCAGGTCACCAGCCCATCACCGCCACTAGTCACAGGTCACCAGTCACCGCCACCACCAGTCACCGCCACCAGTCACCACCCAGTCACCAGGCTCAGCACCTCAGCCCACCAGCCAGCTCACCAGGCTCACCAGGTCACCAGTCACGCCACCAGTCACGCCACCAGTCACCAGGTCACCAGTCACCGCCACCAGTCACCAGGTCACCAGTCACCGCCAAGCTCACCAGGCCACCCGCCACCAGTCACCAGTCACCGCCACTGGTCACCAGGTCACCAGTCACCGCCACCAGTCACCAGGTCACTAGTCACCGCCACCAGCTCACCAGGTCACTAGCACCGCCACTAGTCACCAGGTCACCAGTCACCGCCACCAGTCACCAGGTCACTAGTCACCGCCACCAGTCACCAGGTCACCAGTCACGCCACCAGTCACCAGGTCACTAGTCACGCCACTAGTCACCAGGTCACAGTCACGCCACCGTCACTAGGTCACCAGTCACCGCCACTAGTCACTAGTCACCGCCACTAGTCACAGGTCACTAGTCACTGCCACTAGCCTTGTGTCAGGAACAGTTTGTTGTTTTGTATTATTATTATACTTTTATTTCTTTCTCTACACACACAACACACGCCCCCACACCTCTCCCAAACCCGCCCCAACCCACAACCAACCCCACACCCCCACCCCATACCCACACCCAACCCCACCCACACCCACAACCCCACACCCTCACCCACACCACCCCCACACCCCACCCCACACCACCCCCACACACCACACCCACACCACCCCACACCCTCACCCATACCCACACACCACCCCCACACCCTCACCCATACCCACACCACACCCCACACCTCACCCACACCCACACCAACCCTCACACCTCACCACACCACCCCACACCTCACTACAACCCCACACCCCAACCCACAACCAACCCCACAACCCCACCCACACCAACCCCACACCCCACCCACACCAACCCCAACCCCACCCAACCAACCCCAACCCCACAACCAACCCCACACCCCACACCCAACCCCACCCACAACCCACACCACCCCCACACCCTCACCCACAACCAACCCACACCACCCCACACCCACCCCCACACCACCCCACACCACCCCCACACCCACCCCACACCACCCCACACCCCACCCACACCACCCCACTCACCCACAACCCCACACAACCCCACACCCCACCCATACCCACCACACCCCACACCCTCACCCACACCACCCCCACACCCTCACCCCTCACCCACCTCTCTCACACCCCACACCTCCTGCACTCCACCACACCACCCCTACCCATACCTATATCCACCTCCACACCCCCCTCACACCACACCTGCCCCTGCACCTCCCCGCCCCTGCACTCCCCTGGGTCCCGCCTCACCCACAGCCAGAGTGCGGCCCGGCAGCCAGCCTCACACAGCTGCCTCTGGTGTGGAGGTACACAGGGTGCTCCAGGTGTAGTGATTCATGAGCTAACAATACCTCCCTGGTCTCTAGGTGTGGTGTGATGAGGGTGTACCTACACTCTACCACCCTCAGCACCACTACACACCACTACTACAAACCCACACACCACTACTACACTTTTTTTTATATATATGGCCTCCAGCCTCCCCCAATAGCCACACCTTCGCCGCCATTTTATTACCTTAATATTAAATATCCTAATACATAAGTAGCTATCCTAGCTGTGTTGAGTTAGTTGAGCCGCAGATCTATGCGGCATTCAGTGACTGTTGCCTCATAGTCGATATCTGCAACTGTTGTCGGCTTTGGAGCCGAAGCTCGTTCCTGAGCAGAGCAAAGCCGACCGAAGAGAGAAGGACAGTCGACATCTCATCCAGGCTGTAACATAACTTCTGGGCTGCTGCTTGTTTGGAGATCACCGCGAGTCTGGCGTAGAAACATTCTTGCACTTGGTCCCATCCCGCCAGAGGTTGTGAACACTAGGAGTGAAGCTGCCTGATCAACGTTCAAATCTCCAGCCCCGTATGCCCTATCTTGTCGTTCTCTTCCTCCTGTGTGCAGCATCATGAGAGCAAGTTACGGTGACATGCGGCCATGGGATAAAAAAATCCTGATGAAGAAGGCTCTGCTGTCCCCACGTCCAGAATTCTCGAGCACTGACGTCAACACGGGCTTCATTGATGTGTTTGAAGTCCTATGTTGAAGATCTCACCGTCCAATGGAAGGAGGGTCGGTTCTACCATGACATCACGGCAGATTTCCTTCAACGTATTTGCTGAGATCCCTTACTTCGTCATGCCTCATGCATATGAAGCCCTTCTTGCACACCATGGCGTGATCGACGACATAGGAAGAGCCACACGCATTGGGAGGGCAACCGTTCTACTGGCCTACCGTACCTTAGAGACATTGGCATCTGTAAATTCTGTTTGTTAAGACTGACACCATTTGCCCTTATCGGTAACGTAGTTAACCAGTTCGAGGCGCCCACCTCCTGCGCTATAGCTACTTATTTTTTCTTCAAATTTTCTGGTACTTGCAGCAACAGTTGCTGCAACTTATCACTTTAGCGCTTGTCGTTCTGTCGTAATGGACCTTAGAATCTTGTTTACTTACTGGTATCCACTTCCCTGTTGCGTTCTGGCCATTATGTGGTCAGTGAGGGCTACACACACCCACACACCACAGCCACACACCCACACACCACAGCCACACACCACACACCACAGCCACACACCCACACACCCACCACCACACACCACACACCACCACCACACACCCAACACCACAGCCACACACCCACACACCACCACCACACACCCACACACCACCACCACACACCCACACACCACACACACCCACACACCACTACACACACACCCACACACCACAACTACACACCCACCACCCAACCAAAGCTAACATAACATAACCCAACCTAACCCAACCCAGGCCAGGCTGCGGGTCATCACACACACGCAGCCAAAAATACCACGTTTCCGTCAACAGCCGCGTCGCCCCACCAGCATCTGTCAACACCGCCAGATAAAGTGAGAATTCTGCCAACACTGGGGAAAATGGAGCCCAGGTTAGTTTGTCGGTGGTGATGGATGAAGTACCGGGGGAGGGGGTACCTGAGCAGTCATCTGTGTAACAATCCACGCGTATGGGGGCATGGTGTACTGTGATTGGTTTTACCACAATGAGGTTCAAGGGAGATATTCAAGTGGCTGGCTCCCTCCCTCCTTCCTTCATACCCTCCCTCGTAACCCTTACGCCCCGACACACACTCATCTAACGTCACTAAACACTGTTGATTGTAAACCTAGATCTAAACCAACCCTAACCAAACCTAACCTAACCTAACCCAACTCAACCTAACCTAACCTAACTCCAACCTAACCTAACCAACCTAACCTAACCCAACCCAACCCAACCAACCCCAAACCAAACCTAACCTAACCCAACCCAAACCAACCCTAACCAAAACTAACTCCAACCCAACCAACCCAACCAAACCCAATCTAACCCAACCCAACCCAACCCTAACCAAACCTTAACTAACCCCACCTACCCCAAGGGATCTAACCTAACCCCATCCACCCCTAACCAAATCTAACCTAACCCCACCCACCCCAACCAAGCTCCAACCTAACCACCTACCCAACTAAACCACCCAACCCCACCTACCCTAACCAACTAACCTAACCCCACCACCCCAACCAGCCTAACCCAACCCCACCCACCCCAACCAAATCTAACCTAACCCCACCCACCCCAAACTACAATCTAACCTAATCCCACCCACCCAACCAAACCCATCATAACCCACTGGCTGTTGCTGCCACCCCTCACTCTCCCCACACCCCTACCTGCCCACACACCTCCCTCCACACACACCTCCTCCCCCACACACCCTCCCTCTCTCTCCCCCCACAACCCCCTCCTCCCCCACACCCCCCTCCTCCCCACACACCCCCCTCCTCTCCCCCACACCCCCTCCTCCCCACACACCCTCCTCCCTCCACACCACCCCCCACACACCCCCTCCCCCCACACACCCCCTCCTCCCCACACACCCCTACCTCCCCACGCACCCCCACCTCCCCACACACACCCCATCCTCCCTCACACACCCCCTCCTCACACACCCCATCCCTCCCTCACACACCTCCCTCCCCACACACTCTCCACACCTCCCTCCTCCACACACCCCCTCCCTCCTCACACACATCCCCCTCCCTCCTCCACACACTCCCTCCCTCACACACCCTCCCCCACACACACCCCGTCCCTCCTCCACACACCCCCCTCTCTCCTCACACACCCCTCCCTCCTCCCCCACACCACTGCCAGCCTGACAGGGAACCATTGGCTGCAGCTCATGGACAACCAGGCCAATATTCCTGATACTCTATTTACAGATCTGGAGATGTGTTGATAGTGATGGTGCTGGTGGCTCAGAATCATGCCTGACACCCCACCAGCAAGTTATTACAGCCGTGTGTGTGTGTGTGTGTGTGTGTGTGTGTGTGTGTGTGTGTGTGTGTGTTGTGGTGGTGCGACAAACCATCAATCCTGTATGACTTAATTGTAGTATCATCTTGTCTGGTCGAGAGAGAGAGAGAGAGAGAGAGAGAGAGAGAGAGAGAGAGAGAGAGAGAGAGAGAGAGAGAGAGAGAGAGAGATCATGTTAAAGCTTCAGGCTCACTAATAATAACACTGGATTGACTTAACTCTCATAGTGTATAAAACAGATAAGTATACAAGACAATAATAATAGAACTTTTAAAAGACTGCACAGTGTACATGAGAAGCTGCTGCTAATGTTGAGGGCACACGCCACTATATTACCTGCCTTCTGATAGCAAAATGTGTCAACTGCTATACACACACACACACCAGGTAAGTTAATAAGACTACAAGTTTAGGTCAAGTTGATGACTAAGCACTCCCACAATGTCAACACTGTCCACTACAGCGAGAGACCCAGAGAGAGTGACATACTGCCCTGTGTAGTGACCAGAGCCCCTGTTGACCTGTCCTCTCTTGCTCACACCTCAACACCACCTGAGGCTCCTGACGAGGCTTCTGGACATAGTGAGGGCTGTTAAAACCCTCTGAGGGCATCTAGACAACCTGAGGGGCCCTCACCAGGCTTGAGGGCTGTGTGCCACGCGTACAGCCACTTAAGGGCGGCTGAGGGCTCTCTTAAGCTGTGAGGGCCCCTGACCATAAACCATCCCACAGGAGCACCTGTAAGGACTCATTACCAGCAGTGCCGTGTGATACTCCCGCCCTCGTGAACACTTAAGGTGTCGTCCCCTGTTGCTCACTTGTGGTGGTGTAACCGTGCCCCGCCATTACTGTTTACCGAATTAAAGTTAACACCATACTTAGACAGACACACAGACAGACGGATAGACAGAAAGACACAGACACAGACAGAC